AAAAGGCACTATCGCAATACTATACGGGGGCATTTCGTGAACGCAAGTCCACGTTTGGGTGGAATCAAAGCGCGCAAAACATCTCCTTTCAGTCAAAAATGGGAGTACATCTTAGGTGGAGAGGAAGAGGCCTGATTGCTGAACAATTTTTTATTTCCCCGATGTTCCGGCCCCCTCCTGGGATTGGTGCTACAAGCCCCCACACGGAAAGGACCCCGTACCTCGGGATAGCGTGCAAAGGTTTGGATGCTGAAAAATCAGAGAAAAAAACTAGAATACACACCTTTGAACGCGTTGCAAACTTTAAGCAAGTATTAACAAGTATTTAACCGCGACTTAATCAGAATGCAAACGTTCAGACAAAATGCCCCCGTATATTGCGATAGCGCCTGAGATAAGAAAGAAGGAGGAATCTCCAACTAAAATAACCGTAGAGAAAGAATACAAAATGGACGACCGAAAAGCCACAAGCCTCCTTCCAGGCCTTTCAAAGAAGCAGTGTACATGAAAGTCATGGAGGGCCCACGAACGTATAGATGCAAAACAATGGCTAATGCCATCGGAAATAACAATTAACTAGCTGCTGACGAATTCCTCCCGTCTGATTCCATAGATTAGCATTTGTTTTTTGTTTAGAATTAACGTCAATTTCTATCCAAATTCTCCTTATCCCACATCTTTTTGTAGCCGCTATGACGCAATGAGGTGTGCTAGAAAATGAGGTAAAGAAGCTTTTTGATTCTATCAAAATATTTCTGTTCATCTGCATAGTTGAATTGCCGAGCTCAGCCTAACAACGTTTTGAATTTTCGGAGTCAAACTATATACATATATATTGTTACGAGTTTCCTGGATCTACCATAAACAACGTCACAAATAAACAAACAAATTAAGTATCGTATCGATAACACCAAGCAGCTTCGCCACATTTCCTCGCGATGACAGCGAAATTAGCACCAGTTTTTAGTGATGAAAAACCCTAAACGGTGAAACCGCTTCCAGAATGAAAATTTTTGGCCATCCGCGCTTGTTAACTTGATGAAATTACCAGCAGCATATTTGACGAGCTGCTGCGTATTTATCTAAGATTTCCAGAGCTCGCGGCTTGCAGGGGACACAAAGGAAAGACAGCTACACTTTCAATCTGCTCCTCCGCCTTCAATTCAAAAGTGGGAGAAGAGAGGGCAATAAACTGAAGAATTTTGGCGAAATTGCAACATTGAATGATCTCAACCACAAAACATTGAAAGCGCAATTTCAAGTCCTATCAAGCGAAACTTTACAAGTCTCACCCGAACAGACACGAGAAGAATTTCCCGATGGGACCTAGGTGCACCGTTCGAGCCCTACAAGGTCTCTGATGGATCCAGAGCCATTATGAAGTAATCAGAAAGGCTGGCAAAGGCTACTCAGAGCTACTGCCACTAGGAAGCTATCCACCAGTTAGCCGACCGAATAGATTAGGTAGCAGATCCAGGCTGAGCCGATTTCAATAGGCCTCCTTGTAATGCCTAACGTCAAATAGTAAGACGTTGGAGGGCAAAGATAGCGGGTCCGGCTACACTGCTTCTTGAAAGACTGAGGAAATCCATTCTTCTCAACCCACACCGCCACCTCCACCCTCATCCTCCCCTCCCCCCCCCCACACCCTCCTGTATAGGTTGAAATCCAAGAATAAAATAAGAACTTGACATGAAACTGGACTCAAACCAAACAAACGTCATAGCTGCCATGACCTATTCACATATAAAATTTACAAAGGTTTATTTATGAACCTGTGTGTCGCTTTGGCAGCCTGTCCAGACGCAATCACCCACAAATCGCAATGTATCACTGGCATTTACTTTATACAAATAAGTCTGCCCTACCAACGCATACTTTAGCCAAACGTTACATCTTAAGCTCTCTCCTTTTTGCTTCAAACGACAATTCTCTCCAAGTGTTAAAAAAGAAAAAAAAGAAGGATAAATCAGGGCAGAATGAATCATTCAAAACGAAAACCTACACTAAGCGACCCTCTTCTTACAAAAAAAATGTATGACAACAATGAAGACAACGATTCAGCTGTTTACTTCATATACTGATGACAGCGCCATCAGATATCATGCGGCACCCCAAGATACCTTTCTTTTGTACAGATTCAGACTTTCTGACGATAGTATGCATATAGGAATACGTTTTTATACGCATTTATTTTTATTTATCTATTATTTTTATTTACGTATTTATTTATATCTATTTGTTTGTATTTATTTATTTATTTATTTACTTATTTATTTATTTATTTATATCTCCTCATGTGCCATGGTGGTTGTGTTTTGGGAGAGATGATCTTTTGAAGTGATTCTCTCGTGTAAAACATATTTTAAGATACATAAAAACTGTTTTTTTTAATTAGCCGACGTAATGGTTCAGCTTTTGGCATGAGGCAGGTATCGGGATCTAGCCCCATTTAAATTTTTGATCGGAGACAAATGAACATCCAAAATTTCCGCATTGAGTTCTAATTCTTTCTGTCTGTTGATTGTATAGCTGTATTCCAGGATGAAACTGGAGTTCGGGGGCCACCCCATTATCAATACGAAGCTCTTCAATACGAAGGGTAACAATAAGAGCGCTCATAACACGTAACCAACTTCCCATTAGTACCGGTGCAGTTTGGGAGTTTTGATCTGCCTTGGTCCAGACCGACGTCCCTGAACCAGGGGATGGACATCCTTACCCAGGCCTGAGGATGGAGGAGCACCAGGGTGGATGGAGTGCCTAAGGCCGATGTCAGACTTTGCGAATCGCGCGATTCGCTAGCGTCTGCGGTCGCGTCGCGGCCAGTGAATCACTCAATTGGCTGGTACCGCAACGCGACCGCGGACGCTAGCGAATCGCGCGAATCGCTAGTAGCGAATCGCGCGATTCGCAAAGTCTGACATCGGCCTAAAATTGCTTAAGGATGTGGGCAGAATGTGTAGGATGTAGGGACGCACACGATCCTCATCAGAAATACACCTAAAATGAGTCATTTACTCCTTATTTTATCCTTTGAGCGTTGGAGAACCGAAAGGAGCGCTTTCTAGTTTTACGGCAAAAACAAGGGTGACCCTTCTCCAAACTCATTTCACCGTATTCCACCTTAGATTGCATTTGTGGAACGGCAAAAAATCGCTATCCATTTTGCTTTGATTGTGTGATATTTCTGACGTAGAAGACCTTTGTTATGCAGAAAAAAAAAACAAAGCGATTACCTAAATTGATGTGAGTGCTAGGAACAATTGTAAGCTGTATCTTCTCACCACGTTTGCAGCCCATGTCTTCCGTCATTCACAAACAAAACGAAAATCTATCAGTTTGCCTGCTTTGCTTACTATCATAGAAATCTTAGCGCAAAAAAAGTTTACAAACCCAAAAAGGATTCTTAATTTGAACAAATCGTCAACGGAAGTCATAACTCATCTCAACAGATGACTTGGCAACATCATTCACGATAAGACGAAAGAAAAAAATATCCTTGTTATGTTAAAACCTGAAAATAGGAAAGGATGGTGTTACGCGTTAAGAAGTTCATGTTCATCTCTCAGTTTGGCAACGGGCACAATTTTGTCACATCTGGTCTCAGGGTGCTTCACTGGGACACTCCTTCGGCCTATTTCCACCTCTAGCAGAAACCTTAACCTCTTCCATTGCATTCCTGTCTATCAATCGTCTACCTCTTTTCCCTAATAAGAACCTTAACCCGAGGACTTTTAATGATGCTCACAGGTTAAGGGCCCGCCAATGCGCTCTACTTTTCCATGGTTCCCATGTTGTTTCGCCTGATTACCCGTGACCGTCCCCATAGTTGTGTTTTCGTAGATCTGTTCTTCGCCAAACTTGAATCTTCTTCGTGCGAACTTTTTGTACTTCTTTCTTACTAGTGAAACAACTGACGTATATAAGTTGGAAAGAACGCAGAATTCTCGTGAACGATCCTTACGAATTCAATTCCGTAATTTGCATTATTCAATGCATTATCTTTGAAAAATAAACAAATAAGTATAAATTTTGGTTAATTTTTCAAACAAACCCACTCTGCAAACTAGTGGTAGAAGGACCTGCACCAGGTGAATAGACCTGAAAGGAAAACGAGTTAATTAGCGACCAGTATAGTATTACAAAACATTAGACCATACCGTTTGCTTGCCGTCCATCGCATCAATCCATTGCCGACGATCTTCCTCCGAAAGCGCTTGGAAGGTCATCACATCGGGTCGTTCATCGGCAATCAAGTCAAAACAGAACCTTAACGAATTTTAATCGCCGTACGAACCCGATTAATCCAATTACTTCTTTTCAACTAACCTTTTGTCTATACTGTCCGATGATCGCCGTAAACATTCTTTCAACTTGAACGAAACCGACAATCCCAAGGCACCTTTCATATCCTGAAATTGTTATTGCTACGGCTACAAGCGGAGAAAAATCTTCAGGAACCATTGAAATCCACATCTTAACTAAACTAAAACTTATTAAAATGAAAAAGATTCTTTCTTTCGGCACATTTTATGTTTACACAAACAAATACATTACAATACCTTAAGAGTTCCTCATAAGGACCCACCCTTTCTCGAGGCAGACCTGGTTGAAAAATCAGCACAGCTGGGACCGTATCCTATCTTCCCCCAGAGGGACGCATCCCTACTCGCTGATTCTATCCTAAGTTTGGAGGAGACAGGGTTGCGCCATAGGATCCGCCATTGAACGCGTGATGTTGTAGCTACCCCCCCCTGTTGAGGCACTCTTTCTCTGAGGGGTCGCGCTGTCTGGAGTCTAGAAACGCAGAGTATGGCTGGTCCCATGACGCAACCCTTCTTCTCCCTTGGAAGAGGATCAGCGGCGGGGCGCTTCCCTGGGGAAAGGATAGGATGCGGCCCCTGGGAATAAGGCTACCTATAACCCTGTATAATGCGACAGTTATACAGTGAGAAAGCCACAGTGAGAAGAATCCCTCGTAACTTCTTTCAGAGAATCGTTCCGCAGATAACCGAAAACGGATTTGAGCTCAGCGTCGCAAGACGCGTGCAGCGGACTACACCTCATTACAAATGGCCGGACTGACCAATTGAGCCATTCCTCGTAGCTTATATTCCTTCTTCGACCTACGACCTTATTGCAGAATCCTCCTTTAAGAGTGAACAGAAAACATATGAGGGGTGATTACTGCTGACGGGACTCAGGAGCGCAGTGGGAGATGGTTGTGTGAAATATGAAACGTGACCTGAACTGCTATCATTCTCTCA